TGGCTGGCTCTCGCCACAGGTACAGGAACAGACGTGAAGTATGTAACTGCGTATCATTTGTTTTAAAGGAAATCTGTTTGGGGCTTATTTCTTTTCTGTCCCTGAATCCAGCTGGAGCCTGGATAGAGCAGGACCCAGACTTGACTGACAGGCAAGGATGGCCTAGGAATGCGTTGAAAGGAACCAGGCTTCCTGAATGCCCACCTGCCCAACTGCTCATTTCAGAACTGGAAAAGGGGGCCCAGGGGATAAGAGGGACCCGCTTTCTTACTTTTCTCAGTTCTTTCTAGTGCTCACCAGCTGCCGCATGATCTTTTCAGCTCTAAATATTAAGGGCAACTTTATCTACTTGGTAAAACCAAGTTTTTTCATATATATTATTCCACATAAAAATGCAATGATTCTATGGGCAGATATGAGTCTTATTTTGTAGACAAGGATCTTGGCCTCAGAAGGCTTAAGAACCCGTCCAAGATCAGAGTTAGTGATGGCTGGTCTGGGCGTCCCCTCCCCAGCTTTTCTTCTCTCCACAGCCTGTTCACAAGCGTCCAGTTGACAGAGTTGTTCTGGCGGTAGTGAGTTGCGTGTGCTTGGAGGTAGCCAAACATGGGCCAGGGATGTTGCAGGAAAGATGTGAGCCCTGGAAAACAGCAAGACTAGATGACCCTTAATATGTCTTTCGAGGTCTCTCAAATTCTCTGATCTTGAGTGCCTGCAACGTGAACTTCTTCTAAACCGTCCCCCCACCCCCAAACTTCCGAAGGAGCTCACTGCTATGAAGAAGACAATGTAGAAAAATACAAAAAGAATGAAATGAAGAGACAAGTGAGCCGCTTGAGAATTCAAGAAAGGCGAAGTTTAATTTGCATATAGGCAGAGCCCACACCTCACACGGCAAGTGTTAGGCCGCAGCACAAACCCCTCTGTCAGGATGACAAGTCAGCAGATTTCCAAAGTAACTGGACACAAACAATATGCTTCTCAAAGTAACAAATGGGTTTGTCTATTACACACACATACACACAAATAACAAAGATTTATAGTCTAACCCATTTTTGTCCTCATGACAGCCCTGTGAGGTAGGCAGCACAGAAATTACTATTAACTCCATTTAGCGGGCGAGGAAACTGAGGCTCAGAGAGGTTTCAGCACTGGCCTAAGGTGTCCCAGCTTGTAGGTGTAGAGGGGGGCCCAGGACTCGGAGCTGGGAAGCCTAGTCCAGTGCTCTTTCATAACTGCCTTTCTAGGGGAAAGTGAAATGGGTTGTGTAAAAGACAGTGGTTCAGCATCATCAAGTAGGACTATTACTTTCCTTGAGCAGGTGAGATCAAGTACAGTCAACCCTAATGTTAATGTCATGCTGTGTGGCAGCCCAGATAAAGAACTTTCTGAATCATTCATGTATTTATATCTGCAACAAAATGATTTTCTACTTTTTGTTTTCTGTTTAGCTCTGCCCAGCCTTAATTTTAAGTCACTAAGAGAAATGAAGAAATGGTAGCTGATTAGATTTCATTGACTCAAGTCTTATTACCAGGATTCAAATAGTGGCATCTGTAATCAAGTCATTATTTAAACTTACAATCTGTTGTCTTACTGAAAAGAAAAGGAATCTTACTCATTTATTCCCGGATGTGGACATTAGCCTGATTCTATTCTTTAGCCATAAATAATAGTTATCATTTTATCCCATTTCAATAGCAGTCAAAATGCTAAACTTTACAGGTTGGACTTTTAAAAAATCTTATACTTTAAAACAAAGGGAAAGATTTTTTTCCAGAAAGGATAAAAGCTAAATAAAATCCTTATTTAAAATAAAAATGTTAATTTTATTGAGAATAGCCCCTCTTACTGCGTTACACTTTTTAGTTAAGAATTTAAAAGTTGTCCACTCATTGCTGGACTCATTTCATATATACTACCATGAGAGAAAAGATGTGGTCCATTGTCACACACACTCCAAATTGGAACATAATGGATTTTTCTTATTCAGTATCTATAAGCGTCATTTGTTTTTTAAGTAGTATTTTAAGATATACTGAAATTTAACAAACAGCAACTGGGACTTTGTGTGACAGCCACTTGAAACTATTGCAACAGTAGTTTAAAATTCCCTCTTTAAATTCCTTTAGAGAAACACTAAGGAAAAGTGACAACATTCTACTTCATTCCTGCGTCTGTCACATAGTATATTGGCTTAAGGAAGAGATTTGTCCCTGTAGCAAAACTGGATGTCTTAGTCAATAACCAATGGCATCCCCTAAAAGCTGCAAGATAATTTCATTGGCAGTACAAAATGTAGATACTCATTTGCAAGCATGAAATTGGATTTTACTTTTGATTTTCTGGGTTAATTTTGCAATAATGAAAGTGTTTGCTACTTGGTGGTTAGAGGCTGACCTCACATCTCCTCTTAGAAATGGGTCTCATATAATGGAATATGGGCAGCCACAGCCAGGAGCGGAGGCTCCAACAATACATTTGCACAAGCTTGCAGAGCTGAAGATGGGTTCTTTAACAAGGAAGAAGCATCACAAATTGCTTTTGGGGATTTTAACTTTGACCAAATAGAGGGTTTTTTAAAATGCACATTCCTATCCCCACTGGCCCAGAAATGGTGCAGGTCATCAAAAGGAACTCCCTTGCAGACGAGTTCTCTCGCAGCTCCTGCACGGCTTCAGACTCCAGGAAGCTGGAAGAACTTGCAAAGCTCAATAAACCGCTCAAGGTCAGCATAGCAGCTGACAGTGCCCATGGCTGACCACTGGGGGGCGCGTCCAACATTCTGCAGGAAATAAACTCGAAAGCTTTGTCACTCTGAGGAAACCCTGCCTACCAAAAGCGGAGGAGCACTTGGAAATTCCTCTATCTCCTATTCTTCCTTAATAAGAATGGCTCCAGTGGCTCCGGAACATAGGGGTCAGAGAAATACAGGTCCAAACTTCCAGGGAACACACACAACCACCCCTCCCCTCTGGAAGACTTTGGAGACTCCAAGGCAGAATCAAAGGCATTAACATTTCTACGAGTTGTTTTGCCTGAAAGCACTGTGTGTGGTCCTTTCACTGATTGTCCTGGTTTTCACTCACCTTCCAAGACTTTGTTTTTGAGTCAAGAAAGTTAATCTTTATTTTCTTTTCTTCTGCAAGACCTTGAGGTGCTTGGTGCAACTGACATATTAGTTCAAGCACTCAGTTTCTGAACTCCGGGAAGTAAATTGCAAGTTATGCATTGTTAGGATCCAAACAACCCATGCTTTGTATCATGCATGAAGATGCTTCAACCTCTTAATTGAAACTAAAGAGAACAGGCAACTTTTTATAAAAAAGAAAAATAAAGCATCCATAAGTAACCCCCTTTGGGTTTAGTGCTACACTGTTGGCTAATATGCGCTATTGAAAATATTTTTGGAATGGTCTTCAAACATTATAAATATTTTCTTTTACTTACTTGATATTTCACTATATAATTATGTACAGAAACGGCCCTTACCATGCAGGAAAAATGTACATTCTCCATCTCTATGGTACATTATCAAAGCTGGCCTTTCCACTGGGTCTTATGAGCCAGCAGGATGAATTTGTTAGTCAGCTGTTAGCTCTAACAACATAATTAAAGTGCAAAGAAAGAGGGAAAATAGCCAGACAGGTGAGTTTTGTTCACTGTCAGCATCAATACACTTCATGCCTCTAAGTGAAAGTATCAGGTGCAATAACTGTATTTTTTTTCTCTTCCTTCTTTTAAAGCAGAGGCCTCCCTGAGAAGAGAAGAAGGGGGTAAACACGAGGAGCCCTATTTCTTCAACAACCAACAGTCCTGGGAAAAGCAAGGTCACTTTCCCCTCGAAGGGTAGCAGGACTAACCCCGGCAGTTGCTTTCCTGATATAACAGCTGTCGACCGGTTGGACCCATTTTTCACACACATGTAATATTTTCACTCAAAAATACAAAAATTTAAAAACAAAGATGGGTGGGGAAGAACTGTCTACCAACAGCACGTGGAAGTGTGGGTTTTAAAAAGAAATTCTCACTAAACGATTTTTTAAAAAATACAACCAATGTCCATAACGAGCCTAAAAATGGTTTGTGTGCATGGGAATAGATTCCCGCATTACT